CTCTCTCTCTCTCAAAAATATATTAAAAAAAAGAATGTCAAATCTTTCAAACTTAGAAGGAACACATGTTGAAGACCCTCAGAAGTGTAAAATGAGCATGAAATAAAGCCAATCATGTTGATGCAGTAAAGCTTTGACATTCTCTTAGAGGTTTGGTTGACTAAAGAATACAGATTTACGAGATCTTGAGATATTTAAAGATATATACTAATCACTGACACAGCTAAACAAAAAGTAAAATTTTCCTCGTCCTGGCAGTGCTTATAATGTATGTGGGGATGCCAGACATACACATTATGAAAAGTGACCTATAAATACCAGGCTAATCAGTAGCTTCCAAATGAGTAAAGGCTGTAAATAGTACTTCGATAATTCAGAGAGAGACAGACTCAATTTTTCATCCTGGGAGTCAACAAGTGATTTCTTAGGAATATCAAAAATTTTAGTATATTTTGACCAAAAGAATAGGAGGTTACAATGTGGAGAAGGCCTTCTCAAACACGTGGATGTGTTTTATGAGTGTGGGATGTGGATCAGAGAAGAGGTAGAGGAGGAGTAGGGACCAAAGCTAACAGAGATGTTTCAGTAAAATGTGGATTGTCCAGGGAGTCTGGGGCAGTAGAAACGGAAGCTCATCCAAGTTTTGGGAAGGATAGTTACGTGATCAAGTGCTGGTTCAAGAATCTTTCATTGATGGAGGAATAATAGGCAATCTGATAGGGATGGAGCCTGGAGGAATGTAGATCAGTTAGGGGACTGTGGTCCACAAATGAGGTGACACAGCAGTAATTTAGGATGGTGATACTTGGAAACAAGAGATTAAAACTACAGGTCCAGGATCTTTTATACCCAATAATATAGAACAAGCCTGGGGGAAAGAAGCATCAAAAAACCCAGAGCTATCTGGGTGAAAAGAAGAATTTGAAAAATCAAGCAAAGGCCTTTCTGAGTTGATCAGCTTGTCTCTTTTATGGGAGAAGAATTTAGGTAGAATGTTGTATTTAAGTTGCCATAGAAATTCCTAGCATGGGGAGTCCAGGGGGCAAGAGTTAGAACTACAGCTCTGGAACACACCAGAAAAGTGAAGGCTGCAGGTAAATCTACAGTATTTGAAGCCATGCAGCTGGATGTCAACTCTAACATGATAAAGATGTCTAAATATAGATGAGGTTAATGTCAAGAAAGGTTTCCTGGGGATATGAATTTTAAATATCAGTTTAAAGACAGATTCTCTAAGATGATGTAAAGATATATCATCCTTGCAAGCATTAGATCTAACACCACAGCCACAAATTCAATAAAGGACAAATATAACAGAATACAATGTAATGAAATACACTGAGCTGAAAGACTGTGATTCGACTTGATGGAGGTCAGGAGTCATTTTGTCCTCAGCATGGTTAACAGCCCAGAGAAATGTGGCTGGAGAGAGGATGAGTTCAGGTGTTCCTGGGTCCAGATCTCAACTCTGTTACTAAATTAACTGTTACCTTAGTTAAGCACCTTTTAGCTAAATTTCAGCATATTCTTTGTTAAGTATGCTATGATTACGAGATAAGAGATAAAATACGTACACTATGTCTAGCCCATGTCATGAATTCATTAAAGGAGGGGTGCCACTATTTACTTTATTTCATTTTTATTTTTGTAACTATTAGTGGTAACATGCATAGAACTACATTTCTAAGGATAGAACTATATTGATTCCTACCACCAAACTGACCTATGTCAGAAGAGAAACATTTCTGATCTGAGACACTGAAAGATCATTCTATGGCTTTTCTAGGTGATATGGGCTACATCCATCTGTTTGATGTAATTTTGAGCAAAACGGGAACCTAGCATAAGGTAGTTCACATAAAATATATGAATATTTATTGATAATGTTAGTAGAGCTCCATGTAGAAATTATATATTTAAAGGTGGTCACCAACTTTACATGAATATGGTCTGAAAATACAAGGAATATATCATTCTAAGTTCAAAGGAGAAAAAAGTGAAGAAAATGAGTAACAGAAGTAAATTGAGGACTCCTCTAAAATCTATTAGTATTTACATAGAGAAAATAATTCATTTTGGTAAAGTGCATAAGGATTTAAAATTGGTAGGTTTTATGTTTAAATACATACAGAATATTGTAAGAAATAGGATTTTTCTTTATATCCACAGAGCTGAATAACCCCAGTTGTAGACGACTTCAAGAAATGAAAGAAATTAGAAACTTTTGGTAGGTAGAAACTCAGAATGCCACTTTTAAAGAGGTACAAGTAAAATAGTGGTCATGCGTCTACACATTGCTGAGTAACATATTTATGCCTCTATTTGGTGCTATAAGATTCAAGATAGCATAGCTGCTAAGATCATGGGTTCTTTATATACATATATATATATATATAATTTATATTTATATATATATATTTATATTTGTATATTTGTATATATCTTATATTTATATATATTTCCTATATATAAACTCCAGTTACTGGGAAAATTGCCTAACTGTAGTGTACCTCGGTGTCTTAATTTGTAAAATAGTACCCAATCTGTAAAATCTATTAGGACAATTAAATGAACTAGTACATAGAATGAGGTTAGGGAGCTCCCAGCACATGGCAAGCATCCAAAAGAAGTTAAATTTTACATTACTTATTATCAGTATTTTTTGTAATGGAACAGAATTGCCTCAGTAAGCTTTTCTTAGCTCCAAATGTGCCTCATCAATGACACTATTTATGCTCTGAATTGATTTCTGATATTAATTAGTATTATAAGCTCTTAGTCGAAATAGGGCAGTGTTAACTAAACTTTAAGCAACAATTTTCTCGGTATTGTTGAAGTTCTTTATATCTGGTGAATGTGTATGGAAAGAAAACAAAGGCAGGATAAAAAGCCTGTGCTGGAAAAAATGTGATGAGGTTCAAAAGGTGAAAAGCTGCACATATGTATGTGAGAGGGAGGCAAAGTGAATCCTAAAATTTCTATTGGAGAAACATAAAAGAAAACAAAGTTTTCTAATAAGGGATGACAGAGCAATTCTCTGGTTTGGGGCTGTTTCCTCCATCTTTGAACACTGGGCAAAGAGCTGCCTAATTTATATGTCTCTTCTCCCACAATGGGAAAGAAAAAGACAGTATAAAAGCCACTTGCTCAGCCAGGTTTACAGAACCACTGTAAGCATCTGTAAACATCTGTGACATCTACTGACTCTCCAGAAATCCTAGAGTTGGCCTGGGCAATTTTTTCCTATTGTCCTCAGGCTAAGAAGTCCAAGGACAGACCAGTTAGAACTGGTTAAGAAGAGTTCAAACTAACCCATTTTCTTTGTGTCTTGAAACACTGACTAGCCAGAAAAACAAAACAAAATAAAACAAAACAAAACAAAACAAAAAACAATTCCTCATGTTTAGGGTATAAATGGAAGGGAATGGTGCTTTCTAGATTCACTATGACCCCCAATTAATTTCTACTTTACAAATCTGGGGCTCAAGAATGCTTCATTTGATTTACCCTATACAGAGTAGAAATGAATTAGAAACAAATGATTCAGGCCCAACCAAGGACAAATATTTTATGTTTTTAGCTATCAGGTGTTAACCATTAAGAAACTGTAACTGCACTTTGATCCCCAATTTCTGCTTCTTTTATGATTATTGCTTCCACTTGGCTAAATCATTTTGTTTCTCATATCAAATATCAACTAAGGAAACTATGTACTATTAATTTAAATCTATTACATCATGAGAAGTAAATATTTTGAGAAAGATATTTCAGAATTAAAAAAGAAAAAATCTAATTGCTTGAAAATTATCTGATCATTTCATAGTGAAAAGGTTACATTATGTATCAATAGTGGTTTTTAGCATTTGTATCCAGAAATCAGTTATTGGTAGGATCAGAGCATGTTTTTCACCATTATATTAATGGAGGAGGTTGTTCTCCTCTGAGTAGCCAAGATGAAACCACTTTTTACGGTTTTATGCCTTGATTAGCACAGATTAGATTTTGGTTTCCTTATGTTCAAGAAAGAACATTTTTACAGGTATTATGAACAAGGAAGGTAAAAAACAAGCTTATGAAACTTTGATAAAAATAATTGAGCATGGAAATTCAAATACTATGTCACTATAGAAACAGTACAGTGATAATTAAAAATACAGACATCAAAGTACCTTAGTTGTAGGTCATATATTATGAATAATATGTATGCAAGGTGCACGGGTTAACATTTTTTCAAGAGCTTTAACAGAGCTCTTAGATTTTCAATGCCTACTCATATGCTGTTATTAAAAAATAAATAACTAAGCTTAGAGGCTACAAGAACGCCATACTTTTGGTAACATTTAATTATGAATAATATAATGAAAAAATTCATTTTTAGAAATAAACTATTTAGCACTCTATTAGTAATAAGCACAAGAAAATAGCAAAGCCATACCTTGCACAAACACACTTTATATCTGCCTGACATTCTTTATATATATGGTATGATAGATCATATATGAAAGAGATAACAAGTTTTCCTTGTTCAAGGGCAAGTATCTTCACAAAGTCAATGTATAAAGATGCTTTCTCCACATTGTCAGATTAGATAGTAAGGGTAGAGGGAAAACTGTATGGACACACTATAGCTGTATTCATTGAAGTTGTTAACTAAATCATATGACACAACCTCACACAGTTTACAGAACTGTGAGTATAGCAAGATTTCTAAGGATAGATTTTTATCTAACATTAGTTAACAAAGAAAGACCCCAGAACTTTCCACAATCATATTCATGACTTGTAACATTTTCTAAGATGTAGAAACCATTCATGATATTGCCATTAATACTGTGTAAGTGAAACAAAGACTGAGGAACTTGAATGAATTGCTTGATAAGTCAAAATTAAAACAATAAAATGGATACAAGAATTATGTCCTTTCCATTTGATACCATAATCTTCTCTCTGAAGATAACTATAATCATAGGTATACATGTACATACATATAAATGACTAACCTGGTGTTACTACTCCATTTCCATTGACCACAGGCCTCTCTTCCTCTTCCTCCTCAGGAGGCTCTATACTTGCTTTCTCCATGTTGCTTACTGATTTATTCCTCTTCCGTTTTCCTTCAGCACTTGGAGTGGCTCCCGGAAGTATCTGGTCTGTCACATTTAATAATAATGGTGCTGGTTCTGCTGGAGGCTTCGGCGTGCCGTAGTAATTGTCTGCAAATGATACCAAAACATGGATTTAAATATTCTCCTACTGTATGCATAATTCATAAATATTGGAAATTATATTGATAAATATGCATCCTGTTTCTTACATACATATGTATTTTACATGCATATGATTTTTTTATCCTTTCACATTTTTATATATACCTTTATTTATTGCTTCTATTGAATTGGGCTTTAATGCTTAAATAACGGTACAGATTTATCTTCATTCTCACCTTTTGCCAAACCAAAATATAGTCATATGTATTCGTCTCATATGGCTCATAGCAATTTCTAAATTATTTTTAAAATTTGATAACCTTTTAAAAAATAATGTCTGAATGAGGGTGCAGGTGACTTTTTTTAAAGCAAATCTCACAACATTCTGGAATGCAAAGCACATTGTGCTTTTCTCCAGCTTTCAGAGGGCTCTGGCTGTTGTCCTTGATGCATACAGCACAGCAGCCTGCCCAGAGTGGTATCTCCATGCCAGTTTAATGGTTCACATGGCTACTGACAGTGGGCCTGCTGCCCTAATCATTCTTCAGATTACTACAGCTCTTTTTCCCATAGCTCCATGATTGGAGTGATGGAATATTTGTTTCTCCTATCAGTCTGTCAGACTTCTCAAAGAAGGAGACTAATTGTTATTTCTCTCTGTAATAACAGCCTGACACATAGTAGGCATAGAATAAATATTTACTAAGTGAGTACCTTTATATATTTAAGGCAAATTATTTATAGTCTAAAATTTTGATTGGTAAAGAACATAATGGTGTTTTATAAAATCAGTGTTATACTTTTAGCATCATCTTTGAAACCCACATTGGTGTTTTCAGTTAATTGAATAATTTATGCACATATTTGCTACTCATTCATTAAAATCTTTATTTAGTACTGACTCTGCACCCAACACTCCAATATATGTTTGAGAGAAAACGATGAATATAAAACAATCCTTGTCTTCCAGATGCTCAACAGTGTAGTGTGAAAGATAGGTGCATTTGACATCAAGCAGATAAGTATTATAACAGGAAATAGGACTAAGTACTGCAATCAAGGAGGCACAGAGGAAGAAGCACATCTCACTATCTGCAGAGGCCACTGAAGGCAACTGGGAAAACAGTGTTTTGCAAAAGAAACAAACTTTAACTGGAAGTCATGGGTTCTAGACTTGGCTTTTCTACATAACTACAATTCAAGGAAGTTACTTAACCTCACTAAGGCTCAATTTCTTCATCTATACATTGGAAACAGCACACTTGTTATACCTAAATTCTGGGTTGCAAATAATCAAAAACCAATTCTAGTTAGACTGAACATGACAGGGATGTGCTGAGAAGATATGGGATGATTAGTTGAAGGAAGAGACTGAAAAATCTTGGGAAAAATGAGCAAAAGCAAAGGAATTCCGTCAAAACACCAAAGTTGCCTCTGCTGGTCCCCAACTCTGAAAGCCCACAGCTCCATTGCCATGGGCACTGACTGCCCTTGGCTGCCACTCCCTCAGCTAGAATGAATCCCAATCTCTGCTCAGGAGCTCTGATTCACTCATTTCCAGGAAAACTCTCAGGCTGGGTTGTCTCATTGGCTAAGCCTCAGCCAGAGGGTGAGCTGACAGATGACGGCAGGAGAATGGCTGTTCTCCTTTGATTTGGGGAGAGGGAGCTGGAGTCCCACCTTCCACCCATCTCATCGCAGGGCCCTCTCCAGGAAGGAATGGTCTTGGAGTGTTGGGTCAGCAGGAATGACCAATGTCTACTACACTTGCCCTCATCACTGGGTTGCTGTGAAGAAGAAGGATGTATGAAGAAGTGCTTCATAGGCTGTAAAATCGCAATAGTCTTAATGGCAGTGTAAACGTCCTGCTGGCACTAAGTGAATATTCCAAAGGCTAGCTGGAACACTAATGCTGTTGCTCATTTTCATGGATATTCACAGTTGTAAGGGAAATACAAGGGGAAAAAACATCATCATGTAAAGTGGTTCTTACACATGTAAAACTTTTATACAGACGTCTGAAAAGTGGATGATAGACATTTTGCTAAAGGTTACTTTCTAATTTAATTTAGAGCATTTCAAATGAATCAGACCTCTGAATGTTCTTGCTGAATTCTGAGCAAACAAAAACTGCTAGTTACTTCTTAGCAGTCTATTAATTATTATTATATTTCAGCATCCCTAAGGGCTTGCACCATTCTCAGTACACTGCTATGCTTTCTATGGAATCTCAATACTTAACTGCTTATCTAATAAACATAAAGTGAAACTAATAAGTCACCCTACATGTCCCAATAAATAACATACTTTTAAGTAGTATTCTGAGACTTTAATGCTTTCAAATATATACAGTATTAAGAAAAATGGATCACGTTTCAGTGTTATTTTTCTTCCAACTTGTCTCTTATGGTTTAAATCTCCCTGAGGTAGAAACATAACCTTTTATTAATTAGAAATAAATTCATTGCTCAGGCTAAAAATAAATATTAAATAACAGATTCTGTTGAATTTATATTGCTAAGTAATTACACCTATTGGCATGTGATGTGATTATAAATTATGCAGTAATATTCTATTTCTATAATTTGATTTATGAAAATAAGACTACAGATTAAATTTTAGATGTAAAACTGTATGAATCATTAGTTAAAATGTTAAGATTATCTTCATTAGCAATAATAATAACAATTTAGAAGAGGCACAGAAATAACCCATATAGTTACTACACTTGAGACATATAATTTACAGAGAATATGCTATTATACCAAATCCAATGCATAGAACAAGGCAACCAGAAATACCTAAACTAAGTTGAAGAATTAGTCAGGTAGTCAGGTAGCTAAGTCATTGGAACTCTGATAGAAGTCTATAGAAATCCATATACTAAGGGAAAATTGTGCCTGTTAGGTAAAATATCAACATGTTTTCAGAAGAAAATAAAAACCAAAACTGTTTTTAAATACAATTTGGAAAGTGTCCTGTTAAGAATGAAATGCCTCTATGGTACAGTGCCAACGTTTAGAGAATCTAAAATCTCAAAATACAGTAACACTATGGTGTAACGTTTAATGGCACTGATCATGCAGAAATACACCTGTCTTTGAATCCTTGTGTCCCCTAAACTGGTTACTTCTTTACATCCTTATTTTTTTTTTAGTTAAACCAGGAACATAGGGCTGTAAGATAACTATAGTCACAACAGCAACTACAATAACAATTATTAACATCACCACCACCACCATGTAATTTACTGAGCTGGATACTGTAATGGACATTTAACCTATGCACTCTTGGATCAAATGAGGACTAGAATACCTCTTACTCCATAGTGCTGTTTAAGGATTAATGATAACGAAGGAATGTATAATGTGACTGGATCAGAACAGATCTCCATATATGGTGGCTACTTTGGTTATTTATCACAAAACAGTATGAAATCATTCTGTCTCTACACTTAAAAGAAAATGGGAGGCCCCAGAAATTAATCTATTTACCAATATTAAACATGAAGCCAGTGGAAAACCTGTATCTGTTTGTCTTAGGACCTCATCTCCTCAAAATACTACATTGCCTCTCAAGAGGGGGTGGGGGGAAAAGTGTGATGAAATTTGCATTTCTGCCCTGAACTGACAGCAAGAGAAATTCATTCAAACCCACAACCAATACGCACAAATGTATCACTTTCAAAAGGGAAAGGTGATAATTGCTACTAAATAGTAAAGCTGGAGCAGTTTAGGTGATTTTTTCTCTCTCCTTGCTTCCAAAAATGTGCATATGTGTGTATGCACGTGTGCACGCATATGTGTGTTTTGCGGGGATGAGGTGGGATATGATAGGCTTTTCTAGTACGCTTTTTACTGAATACATCTTGTAAAGAATGACATGTTTATTAGCAGTTTCATGTAAATTTAATATAAAGTTGTATTTTTTAATTGAATATGATGACAAAATCAAATGATATGTAAAATTGCTCACTTAGTTCTATTATAATGACGATCATCTATACATTACATAGTCTTTTTTTTTTCTTTTTTTTTTCAACGTTTATTTATTTTTGGGACAGAGAGAGACAGAGCATGAACGGGGGAGGGGCAGAGAGAGAGGGACACACAGAATCGGAAACAGGCTCCAGGCTCTGAGCCATCAGCCCAGAGCCCGACGCGGGGCTCGAACTCACGGACCGCGAGATCGTGACCTGGCTGAAGTCGGACGCTTAACTGACTGCGCCACCCAGGCACCCCTACATAGTCTTAATTTAATCAATGCCTGGGGTAAAAAAGACAATTTTTTGAGGAATTTGATTTATTCCTCAGCTTTTTAAGTACTTAAAATAATGATTTTCCCCATAAAGTTATAGTTATAAAAGAGTGAAACAGGGTTGATGGGGAGTGGGGAAGAGGGGAAAGTGGGTGACGG